CATCATCATCATCATCATCATCATCATCATCATCATCATCATCATCAACATCATCATCACCATCACCATCACCACCACCACTATCATCGTCATCGTCGTCTTCGCTTTTAAAATCATCATCGTAGTCGTCGCCGATACGGCCGTGATCCTCGTCGTCATCGTCACCATAATCGTCATCATCAGCCTGGTGCTGCTTTCTACCTCCCTCGTAATATAGAACTGTCCCCCACCTCCGCTGCACAGCCACCCCTCAGTACGAACCCTATCGATGCTGTCAATGCTTAAAGTGATTACGTCACCGTAACTAAAAAAAAAAATAAAACATGGTTCTGTTCACTTTTTATGGTTAAATTGCTGCATTATACTTCTTATTTTACTATATTGGTCGATGTGAACATACACTCGTGACTCATACATAGCCCATAGCAAGCAATTAATGTCAGGAACATAATATCAAATCGTCCAGGTTTTTTGGATTTTTAGCTAGTTGAGAAACAATCTTATCAGATAAGAATTTAACGATACGTTTAGTCCCGTTTGTTCTTACTTTTAAAGTTAAAAAATGGCAACAAATTATTTTACACATTTTACCATAGAAAATACATGACGTAGTCACCTTAATATTTCACACGGGCAATATATCGGGCAGCGCACACACACGCGGACACACACGCCGCTATCTGCATTCTGCCCGTTCATTATTAAAAGCTTAGCCTAGATGTGAGATTCGCGGCTCACTGAATGTCTAATGAGATGTCGCTAAAGAGTCGATCGGTTTTTCTTCACGGTGGAAAGAAGCAAACTCGGCAACTGCAGTTTCTTTCATTCTGCGTGCGGCGGTGCGAATATATAATAGGCGCTTTATATGTGCCATAGTTCGTACAGCGAACACATTAACACGCACACGCACACGCACAAGCACACGCGCACACGCACACAGGTACCTACGTACGTACGTACGCACGGACGCACGCACGCACGCACGCACGCACGCACGCACGCACGCACACACGCACACACAGGTACGTACGCACGTACGCACGCGCACACACACTTATTCCATCGCAAAATGTTCTTCGCAATCTGGCAACGTTGTTAGCTATTGCTTGCTAGCTTCCTATCGTAGTGTATAGTGTAGCGTAGTGTATCGTAGTGTATTGTATCGTGTAGCGTAGTGTATAGTG